CTAATTCAAAAAGATACATTGGGGCTTCCCTGGTGGCACAGTGGTTGAGAGTCTGCCTGCCAATGCAGGGGTCATGGGTTTGAGCCCTGGTCTGGGAGGATCCCACATGCCACGGAGCAACTGGGCCTGTGAGCCACAACTACTGAGCCTGCGCGTCTGGAGCCTGTGTTCCGCAACAAGAGAGGCCACGATAGTGAGAGGCCCGCACACTGCAATGAAGAGTGGCCCCTGCTCGCCGCAACTAGAGAAAGCCCTCGCACAGAAACAAAGACCCAACAGAGCCAAAAATAAATAAATAAATAAAAATTTAAAAAAAGATACATGCACCCCAATGTTCATAGCAGCACCATCTACAATAGCAAAACATGGAAGCAACCTAAACGTCCATCAACAGAAGAATGGATAAAGATGTGGTACCATGTATACAATGGAATATTACTCAGCCATAAAAAAGAATGAAATAATGCCATTTGCAGCAACATGGATGGACCTAGAGATGCTATTACATACAGTAGTTTGGAAAAGAAATAGTAGAATGGAAAAAAATACAAAAAATATATATATAAAATACATTACATATATATATATATATATAAAATACATTACATATATATATATATATATATATATAACTGAGTCACTTTGCTGTACACCAGAAACACAACATTGTAAATCAACTATACTTCAATAAAATAAATAAAGGGAGATGACAACTTGTTAGGAAAAAAAGGTGCCAGTGTGAACTGAGGTGTTCAATACCATATGTAGACGCAGGAATACAGATGTGATGTTTGTGTATTTATTTTCTATGCATCTACTGAAATGCTTGGGAGCAGTGAGACTCCAGTAGCAATGAACACACCTATAACAAAGTTTTGGTTTCTAAATACAATCTACCTGAAGGGGAACAGAGCTCGTTGGAGAAATGGTGAATTCCAGGGCTGGTGCACAGAAAGTACAAGAGCCTGAAATATATTACTGTGCCAGAAAATAAGGAAGTAGTCAAGAGATAAAGACATGCCAAACACAGAAGTTACCTTTGAGAACTAGAACAATGGGACATTTGAGCATCAATATAATGAGTTATAAAAATGCATGACTTGAGTCTAGTCATGAGGAAACACCAAACATAAATTGAGGGACGTGGTATAAAACAAGTGCCCTGTAATCTTAAAAAAAAAAAAAAAGAGTTAAGCTCATAAAGATCAAGGAAGGACTGAGAAAGAGTACGGATTGAAGGAGACTAACTAAATGCAGTGTATTATTCTGGATTGAAGTCTTCTGCTATGAAGGACATTACTAGGAAAACTGCAAAACTTAAATGTGTTTGGGGAGATATGGGGTGGGGGTAATTGGGAGCTTTTTGTGCTGTTCCCACAACTTTTCTGGAAGCCTGAAATTGTGTAAGGATGAAAAAATTAAGGCTTTTTGCAAAAATGGTATAAAAATTATAACAACAAAATTTAAGATACAAAAATATTTTACAATTAAAGTAACAATAAATTAGTGAAAAGATTTCTCTCCTTCATAATTTCCTTACAAGTGGAGATAATATAAAAATTAGCTTAAATGATGTCAAACAAGCAGAAGCAGGCCTTACTGACAAAAAAGACATCTGAAAATGAAACAAAAAAAACCCCACAAAATGCCCCCACCAAAAAATAGACTAAAATGCTAAAAAGTTGCAAGAAAAAAAAAAAAAATCAACTCCAGGGTTCATAAAATCACCCAACCAAAAAAATAATAATAATTCTAACCTCAAGCTGTTCTCAGGCATAGCCCTACCAGTCCCATTCATTCTCATCTAATTTTTAACCAATTTTGAGATAATTTATCACATGTTCTTCTAATCTGCTATTGTTGGCAAATAAAACCCAGTTGGCTTCTATGATTTACAATTTTGGACTTTGTTATAGATGGAAGCTGTCAATAACAAAACTCAGGATCCGTATCAAATATCCTTTGAGCCTTAAGGTGGCTATTCAACAAGCAGTAACCAATCCTGGCAGACACATGCTTGAAGTGTGGAAGGCCATGGACAGGAAGCCCATCTACAGCTAGTACACGTGTAGGATAGAGGTGCCCAACATTTTCATCACAGAAAACCTAATAGTTAAAACAAAACATTGGAGGAAAAAGGGTGAGGCTGCTTGGGGCGAGGGTTGGAGGCCAGCTTTCCCAGGCACCCTGAAGACCACCTCACGGTCTGGAGAGGAATACTATCTACAAACATCTATAACTCATTCTGAGCCAGGTGAGAAGAGAGGATCAGTAAGAATGGAAAATACGTTTTGAGTGAGACATGAGGCAGAAGTCTGGGATGAAGATTTTTGAATCTGTGCTCCTAGGAGACAAGTTATGATGCACCTGTTGAAGGATCCATTACTATTCAAACGGTCTCTAAGATAGTATATCAAGCTCAATGGCAGAGACCGTGTTTCCATTCACTTTGGAATCCACAGCACCACAGGTGAAGCAATCTGTCATCGCTGACGTTTCTTTGGTCCTCCTCACCTCTCCACAGTGCAAACCCTGCTTGTGGGGCCACTTTCCGTCAACTATATCATGATAGGGAAGGCCTTTTATAACCGATTTGTCACTAGCAGTGTCCCTGTGGTTCCCCAACCTTTAGTGCACAGCACTGTATCTCTTGCCTACCAAGTCCAAGCCTTCTCCTGCCTCCTTGTCACTGCTCCTCCCATCCCCAAACTATCCACACACAGTTCTGGAAACTAGTCTGTCACCCAACAGGTCCAACTGCTATATCCCTCCCTCCAAGGTTCCATCTACTCTCTTCCAGCTGTGGTTAAGATCCTTGTTCGAATTGCCCCAGCTCTGATCCCAGGGCGCAGGGATTCCCAGATGCATTCATTTGACTTTTCTGTTCTGGTTGATTCATCACTATGCCAGGTGCTTTTGACAGCGCTTAGTGCTGAATTTAGTTATCTTGCTAAAGAGAAAGACATAGCATAGGAACAGCAAAGAATAATTTTAGACACCGCATACATGCCAAACGAGCACACCAGGCACACGATGCGCTCCTCCCTTTGATAATGAATATATGGGGGTGATACCACCCCTCTGGAAAGAACCCACGAGGGTCACAAGCAAAGCAAACTGAAGCTAAGACCTCAAGAGGCCAAGAATGCCAAATAGAGGGGGGAAAAGCATCATAATTTAACACATGATGGACCTGGTTGCAATTTTTTTTTTTTTTTGCGGTACACGGGCCTCTCACTGCTGTGGCCTCTCCCGTTGCGGAGCACAGGTTCCGGACGCACAGCCTCAGCGGCCATGGCTCACGGGCCCAGCCGCTCCACGGCATGTGGGATCTTCCCGGACCGGGGCACGAACCCGTGTCCCCTGCATCAGGAGGAGGACTCTCAACCACTGCACCACCAGGGAAGCCCCTTGGTTGCAATTTAAAATAGGGGTGGCAAACTTTTTCTGTAAAGGGCCAGATAATAATTATTTAGGTTTTGCTGGCCATAGTCTTTGTTGCAACTATTCAACAGCAAACCTCTTTAGCACAAAGGTAGCTGCTTATAGACAATATGTAAATAAATGAGCATGCCTGCGTTTCAATAAAACTATTTATGGACACTGGAATTTGAATCAATCTTCATGTCATAAAATCCTTTTTGTAAAAACAACACACACAAAAACAAAAAACATTAAAAAATGTAAAGGCCATTCTTAGCTCATGGCTCATACAACAGACGGTGAGCCAGATTTGGCTCATGGGGCTGCAGTTTGCCAGCCCCTGGCTTAGAACAAAGTGGAACAAAATGGACACTGGGCCGTCAATTGGAAGGACACATTGTACCTGAGATGCACAGCTAGGGAACTCACCAGAACACAGACGTGGTCATGAAAGACTCCCCGAAACTGCTTACTTTGGGTTGAATATTTTGTAGCTATCTTAGGCTGGCTGATACAAGAAAAGAAGTATGGAAAAGGGGGAACTCACTGAAATCTCTAAAAGCTCTCATGAACTTTGATTACATTCTATCAAGTATCGCATCTCTGTGCTGATATTTCAGCTGAGAACACAAACAGGAAACCCAATAACATCGACCTAGTGCCTGGCCTCCTACACACTATGTTCACCAATTAGTGAAGAAAACAGAAGGATAAGTGATAGAGGCACCATCAACTTCCAATCTAAGATTCCATATGGTAAAATCATTTAAAAAATGAGAAATGCCATGTTGGATATATTGAAAATACTTTATAATTAATTCCCTAGAATCCTAGCCATCTAGTACAAGAAAAAATTGTATGGTGGAACACTTCAGTATTTTTAAACAATCTAAAGATATATTTGACTAGGGGATGGCAATAAGAATTGAACAAATAGAAACCTAAGCTTCCTCATTTTCCACAGAGCAACTCAACAATAAATATATTTCAGGAAACAGATGACAGAATACCTCAAATGCAAAATTCCAAAGTCATGTAGTCACTTAGATTAACCAAAACTGTTTGTAAATTAAAAGATAACAGCAAAAGGTCACAAAAAGCCTATTTCTTTCATAGCGTCATGGGTGATTCTTTAAGCAGATAAACAAAGTACTGTAAAGAATGGTCAAAACTTGGCTTGAACTGTCTTCTGGTAATTATTAATCCCACTATTTGTAGTTTTGTTGTCCAAGGACAAAAGCTCCATGTGATCAATCACCTTCTGCTGTCACTTTCCAGAGAAAAGAGAGGCTGCTGCTGGTTGTTTTTTCCCTTTTCCAGCTTTCACTATGCTCTAAGCAATTAGTGGCAGATAAAGTATCGTTAAAATAAAGTATCCCATTTTCTCACCAGAACTGCCACCCCTCTTCCCAACTCATTGTTCTGCTTTGAAAGATGAACATATTTAGAAATCCTCATTTTATTCTGAGACATTTCTGCATAATCCATTATAAAACATACAGGTAATACAAAATCCAAAGGTCCTGTTGTGTTTATGGAATAAACACGTGAAGATTAAACTACATGATGACACCATGGGGAGAAATCATGGTTTCATTTATTTTCATGAGATAGTTCATGAGTGCATGACGTAAAAGCTTAAAAGTTGTCACCAAACTGTGCTAAGTATTATTAAGAGATTATGCAGGAAGAAATCTGTGCAAATTCATCTTCTTCACTCAGTATCAGACAGTAGAAAAAAAACATTTCTTTAAACAGTTTTTTTTATATTCAGGAAAACAGATTTGAAAAACTGAACAAGTAGACACCTGCTCCCTCTTTATGATCAAATAACAATGACAATGAAGGAGATTCCAAAGAAAAAAGCTGAGATGAAAAAAATCCAAATAAAAGCCAACACTGCTATTAAGATTTTTCTTTTAATATGCCATGAGATATCTTGATTGTATATTTTCCAAAGTACTTTTCCAGCCGCATCTCCCAGCCCTTCCAAAAGATTTCTCCAGTCTGTCCAATGCAATAAAGGATGCTAGATCATAGTTCTGTCCACCTTCTCTTTTTGAAAGCAAATAATCCTAAATGACTTTAATGGTCATACATTCTTATCTAATAAGGAAAAACATTTACAAAGATCAGAAACCCAGTTTTGAGACATTTGCATTAATTTTGAACTGAATCAGCATTTTGTGGGTTTTAAAAAAGGCAGCAGTTGGAATTCATGACTTGCTGACAAACACATTTCTGCTGAGGGAAGGGGAAGACAGGGATAGTGAATGCTGCATTTCTCCACTGGCCCCAAAGTGCTAATTCCACAACGGGATACATCAAAAGCAAACATGCAACTGTGGTTTTAAAACTTTTTACTGCAATATAACAATGAAGTAAACAGTAATTAGACACCTACCAATTTCCCCCCCAAAACAAACCCAAAAAATGTAAACAGGAAAATAACTCTGCCTATACTTGTACAGCTTCTCAAATCATGTTAGAAGGGTCTCACATTCAATGATCAAGAAATTTAAAATAGCAGTAATTATTTTCATTTTAAGAAAAGACTCCCCCTCTCCCCCCTCAACCCCAAGTATTTACCATGAAAGAATGGGCTTTCTTACACATTAATTTTATACTTATTTGAAGCAGCAACAATAACCATCAATAATTTGGCATTTCTGTTTACAGTTGCTCCAATTTTTTTTTTTTTTTTAATTTCACAAAGCCATTATCCAGTGTTGCCATAAAATAGGGACTGTAGATTCTAGGTAGCAAAGATTCTTTCTGAAACCACTGTTAAGTCAAAGAAATATAAAGCAGGGCATTACACTAAATTGCTGGATCTAGTACACTAAAAAGAGTGAAACCTAGGAAAAGTTACCTACTGTTTTATAGAGGAAATAAAGACCTGCAAAAGCTGACTTTTGGTTGTATAATATTTTACACGCTGTGTGGATCTGCGGCATCTGCTAATTGAAGCAGACATGCACGGTATTTATCCCTGCCCTGTATCCTAGACCCCCCTCCCCACCCCCAAGAATCTACTACCTTATACCAAGTATTGTGGATATGAGCCCAAGTCATCCCAGACAATCCAGTGAACAAAGTTAGTGTAATGCACTGGTGTGAAGTGTGAGATAAAAAAAAGTCCCTTTCAATCTTCATCAAAGTTTTGCTGTAGAAGAAAATTGGCAGCCAAGTTCTCATTCTTCTCACAAGCAAAATATGCTTGTATCACAAGTCCTTCAGGAAATCCTAATGCCTTTAACTGGAAGAAAAGAAAGAAAACATATTATGGAGTCTAGCATAGCACTACTGACAGATCATCACTTGAAAACATACTATAAAGGACACAAAGAAGCTTGAGAATTTTACATGAATTCACCCCTATCTGAATATGGAGTCATTGTCCAATTCAAGGGGGTAGACAGAACCCAGGCCCTTTCCCGTAACCACCTACAAATTCTTTGTTCCTAGTTAAAGCTATTAGGCTAACAGATACTTTGATAACACTCATTGGCATTAACACTAGAAATTAGCTTCTGTGGTGGTTTAAAAATAAATGACTTTACAGAAATCTGTAAATCAAATGGCTTTTAGTACATAAGTGGTGAAGCTATGGATGAGAGCAACCAGAGGTTGCTAATTATTTGTAAAGAGAGCCACATCTTTCATTAGGGTCATATATTACTCAACCTCCTTGCCTTATGAAACACTTCATACTACAAAAATGGGTGGTCAATTATTAGTAATATTACATGATATATTTTTGAAATCAAGACATATGGTGTTTGATTTTTATTTGCTTAATTTTTATAGCATTTTAAATGGTGATACGACCCATTTAATTTTTGTCTTCCTAGTCTATTAAAAATCACTTGTAACTCAGTAATTGCTGCTATTAAAAGCCTTTAAACACTCAGGTCAACTGTCTAATTCCCTAGGTTCAGCCAAATGTTATTATGTCAGCCAAATGTTATTTATGAACCCCCTTCCTCAACTGTCTCAATCGTCTTGCATTAGACAATATCAAGAAATGACTTTTAAAAACTGGGCAAAAGTCCCGACTCAGCATGATTATATTCATCCATGAAAGGAGAAGAAACTCAAAAATGATTTTGTTACCTAGGTCTTGTCCAGATTAAAGCTGGGCTAGCTGAAGTAAAAGGTAGATAGGGCACGATCCAACTATATTGCTTCTACAAGACACACACTTTAGATTCAAAGACACAAATATGCTGAAAGTAAAAGGATGGAAAAAGATATATACCATGCAAACAGTTACAAAAAGAGAGCTGAAGTGGCTATATTAATATCAGACAAAACAGACTTTAAGATTAAAATTGGTACTAAAACAAAGGACATTTTATGATGATAAAACAATCAGAAAGACTTCATTATAAACATAGAGAACAACAGAGCCCCCAAATACATGAAACAAAAACTGACAGACTTGAAGGGAGAAATAACCAATTCAACAATAGTTGGAGACTTTAATATCCCCATGTTCTATAATGCATACGAGAAGGCAGAAGACTGACAAGGATATAGAAGACTTGAAAAATACTATAAACCAACCAGACCTAACAGACATTTAGAGAACACTTAACAACAGCAAATTATACACCCTTCTCAAGTATACACAGAACATTCTCCATAAAGACCATGTTAAACCATAAAACAAGCCCCAATACATTTAAAAGGATTAAAATTATACAAATTATGTTATCTGACCACGATGGAATGAACTTAGAAATCAATAATAGAAGGAAATTTGGAAAATTCATAAATGTGGAAACTGATACAATCCTAAATAACCTACAGATCAAAGAAAAAAATGACAGAAGAAAATAGAAAATAGTTTGAGATGAATGAAAATAAAACCACAACACACTAAAACTTATGGGATGCTGCTGTAGCAGTGCTTGGAGGAAACCTTCTAGCTGTAAATATCTACAGGCATACCTCAGAGATACTGCAGGTTCGGTTACAGACCACTGCTATAAAGCGAATATCGCAATGAAGCGGGTCACACGAATTTTTGGTTTCCCAATGCATATGAAAGTTACGTTTACACTATACTGTAGTCTATTAAGTGTGCAGCAGCATCATGTCTAAAAAAAACAATGTACATACTTTAATTAAAAAATGCTTCATTGCCGAAAGATGCTAACCATCATCTGACAGCACAGGGTTGCCACAAACCTTCAATTTATAAAAAATGCAATTAACTGCAAAATGCAACAAAGTACAATAAAAAGAGGTATGCCTATGTATTAAGACAGATATAAAATCAATAATCTAAGCTTCAACCTTAAGAAACTAGGAAAAAAAAGAGAAAACTAAATCCAAGGCAAGCAGAAGGAGATAAAATAGAGACTAGAAAAAACACAGAATCAACAAAACCAAAAATTCTCACTTTTTTTCTTTAAATCAACAACACTGACAAACCTTTACCTAAACTGACAGGGAAAAAAAAAGAAATCTGAGGATTCAAATGACTAAAATCAAAAATAAATGTTGGAACATTACCACTTTTTATAGAAATAAAAACTACGTATCAGGGAATACTGAGAACAACTAAGTTGTTGTATGCCAACAAACTGATAACATATATGAAATAGACAAATTCCTAGAAAGATAAAAACCACCCCAACTGACTCAAGAAAAAAAGGAAAAATCTGAATAGCCCTATGACAAACAAAGAGATTGAATTAGTAGTCACAAAACTTCCCCAAAAGCCAGGCCCAGATAACTACACTGGTGAATTCTACCAGCCGTTTAAAGAAAAATTACCACCAATTCTTCATAAACTCTTCCAAACAACAGACGAGGAGGGAACTCATTCTATAAGGCCAATATTACTCTGATACCAAAACCAGACAAAGACATCACAAGAAAACTACAGACCAATATTCCTTATGAATACAGATGCAGAAATCCTCAACAAAATACTAGCAGGCCAATTCCAGCAACACCCCAGGAATGCAAGGTTAGGCCAACATACAAAAAAATCAATCAGCGTAATAAGGCATATTAACAGAAAAAGGGACACAACCACACAACCATATCAATCAACACACAATTTGACAAAATCCCACACCCTTTGTGATAAAAACATCCAACACACTAGGAATAGAACTTCTTCAACCTGATAAAAGGAATCTAATGAAACGCACAGCTAACATCAAACTTAATGGTGAAAGACTAAATGTTTTATTTTCCTCTAAGATCTGGAACAAGATAAAGATGTTGGCTCTCGCCACTGCTATTCAACTATACAGAGGCGGCTCTAGATAGGACAATTAAGCAAATATATATATATATATATATATATAAAATATGTACATATTAATAATAAATAAAGGACATCCAGATTGAAAAAGAAGTAAAACTATGTCTACCTGCAAATGATATCTTACATATAGAAATCCTTAGGAACACACACACAAATTATCAGAATAAATGAGTTCAGAAAGGTTGCAAGATACACAAAATTAAATTGTATTTCTATATAACTAGCAATGAACAATCCAAAAATGAAATTAAGAAAAACAACTCTCTTTATAACAGCATCATAAAGAATAAAAATACTTAAATTTAGCAAACTGAAGACTAAAGAAATTTCTGAAAGAAATTATGGAAATTCAATATGGAAAGACATCCCATTCTGTGTTCATGGCTTGGTAAAGACTTAATATTGCCAACATGGCAATACTCCCCAAATTGATCTACAGAAAAAAACACAGTATCTATCAAAATTCTAGCCAGTTTTCTTTTTGCAGAAATTGGACAAGCTAATCCTAAAATTGATATGAAATTGCAAGGGAACCACAGAGCCGAAACAATCTTGGGAAAGAAGAACAAATATGGAGCTCTCACACTTCCAGATTTCAAAACTTACAAAGCCAGAGTAATCAAGACAATGAAGGACTGGCATAAGGATAAACATACAGATCGGAACAGAACTGAAAGCCCAGAAATAAACCCTCACATTTATGGTCAACATATTTTCAACAAGGATGCCAAGACAATTTAATGGGGAAAGAACAGTATTTTCAATAAATGGTGCTGGGGCAACTGGATATACACAGGCAAAGGAAATGGCTAGGCTCCTACACCTCACACCGTAAACAAAAAGTAACTCGAAATGGATTATAGGCATTTTACATTACATAAATGTAGTAAGAGCTATAAAACTCTTTGGAGAAAATAGAGGCTTAAATCTTCTGACCTTGGGTTAGGCAATGTTCTCTTCTATGACACCAAAAGCACAAGCAACAAAAGAAAAAATGTCTCCAACACAGAAATCAAGATTTGATAACTGTAACCTCAAAAAAAAGCTGCTCTAGAACAAGTGAGGCAATTGTCTATTTTCACTTCTATTTATTTGAGGGGGAAAAAAATAACACTGCAATATATAAAGTATCTTTTAAGAAATACATAGTTACAAACCTGAACACTTGATATGTTTGTCATAAACAAAGACTAATTATAGTTCCAATGATTTTCTAAGTATTAGGTTAAAATGCACTTTCTCTGATTTCCATCTCAAAACACTTTGTAGGATAAGACAGGGCAAGTACTATGATTTCCTATTTACAAATGTTAACAATGGGGTCTAGAGAAAAATGAATGACTAGTCACAGTATCATAAAAACTAGGTTACTGCAGTGACACATGTATGGGCAGACATAAGGATGAAAAGAGAATCAGGATACCAGGTTCTGATGTTTACTACACATGTATTTTATGAAAATATTCATATACATATCTATTTACATTTTAGAGACAACAGTGAAATAAAATTTTAAATATAAATTTAAAATGGATAATCTTGAATTGGGCATATACTTTAAGATCATTTTTCTAAAACATCAATGAAAATTTTAGTTTCTTGATATACTGATAACTATTTCATGCTAGACTGGTATTCAGTGCTAGTCCCTTGGCTTCACAAAGAACACAATGGAGAGCAGGGCTGAGAAGAGACTGTCTCCACTGCAGTCCCTAGGTTAATAATGCTCTATTTGGCTCTGTCCAGTAAGAGCTATCTACTGTGATGGAAATACTCTATATCTGGGCTATCCAGTGCAGGAGCCACTAACCCCATGTGACTACTGAGCATCTGCAATGTGGCTAGTGTGACTAGGAACCGGATTTCTAAGTTTTACTGAAACTCACCCTTTCTATAGCTTCTTTTTCCTGAGGCGTTACTTGAATGTAGTTCATATGACCACTTCCAGCTTCTGCAATTCCTCCACTGCCACCTCCACTGCCTCCTCCTTGACCACCAGCTTCTTGAACTGGTTCATTTAACATCTGAATAAAATGCTCCTGATGTTGGCTAATTTGCTGCAGTGATTTGAAGGACAGAGAAAAACAAGACATTGATATAAAGTATCTTCAGGAAAATAAGAATTCTAATACAAATAAGAGAGAAAGTTATAACTTTGCAACTGCATTATTTTAGAATGATTCTGGGTTATTCAGTCTCTGGAAGGATATGATTTCTTGTACATTAAAGACACTTCGTATTTCTGAGGTAAACAGTGAAGAATTAAAAGAATCCAAATTCTCTTTCATAACCACTCCCACCACCCCCGTCATTGTTAAAAAACTACTTGATGTATAAGAAAAAACAGAAGTTATGTATATGTATATATATGTATTTTTTATCCTCCACACTAGTAGGCAGTAGAATGCTGTAACAGGGGTCCGTGATCCCCGGGCCATGGACCGGTACTGGTCTGTGGCCTGTTGGGAACTGGGCTGCACAGCAGGAGGTGAGTGAGCGAGCAGGCGGGCGGGCAAGCGAGCCAAGCTTTAACCGTATTTACAGCCGCTCCCCATTGCCCCCCATTAGCGCCTGAGCTCCGCCTGTCAGATCAGCAGAGGCATTCGATTCTCATAGGAGCGCAAACCCTACTGTGAACTGCGCGCTCCTTATGAGAATCTAATGCCTGATGATCTGAGGTGGAGCTGAGGTGGTGATGCTAGCGCTGGGGAGCGGCTGCAAATACAGATTATCATTAGCAGAGAGGTTTGACTGCACAGAGATTATAATAAATCAACTGCTTGCAGACTCATATCAAAACCCTATCAGTGAGTGGCAAATGAAAACAAGCTCAGGGCTCCCACTGATTCTGCATTATGATGAGTTGTATAATTATTTCATTATATATTACAATGTAATAATAAGGGAAACAAAGTGCACAATAAATGTAATGTGCTTGAATCATCCCGAAACCATCATCCCCCAACCCTGGTCCATGGAAAAACGGTCTTCCACGAAACCAGTCCCTGGTGTCAAAAAGGTTGGGGACTGCTGCTATACAAAACTCAAATATTTCATGACCTGAGCATTAAAATAAGCCCACAGGGCTTCCCTGGTGGCTCAGTAGTTGAGAGTCCGCCTGCCAATGCAGGGAACACGGGTTCGTGCCCCTGTCTGGGAAGATCCCACATGCCGTGGAGTGGCTAGGCCCATGAACCATGGCCACTGAGCCTGTGCTCCGCAATGGGAGAGGCCGCAACAGTGAGAGGCCCGCGTACCACAAAAAAATAAATAAATAAAAATAAAATAAAATAAAATAAGCCCACAGGTATGTTTTCTATGAGGTAGTGCGCCACTAGTAATAAGCTTGGGAAAGAGAGACCTAGACAGTTAAACATTTCTTTTTGCTAGAGTTTCTCAGATTCTTTAATAAAGTGTTTCCCAAACAAATATCTAACCCAACCCCCACCCCCAATTCTCGTTTTATCAGTACATCTATCTATAGCATATTCTACTAAGTGCAGCTTAGAAGAACAGTTTATAGACTTGGTGAAGGAGAAGGGGTGCTCATGGACTTCTACAAAATGTGATATACTCTAAACCCATTTTTGGAAATTAACTGATTAAATAGTCACCTGCAGTAACTGAGGATTTTCTCGACCTATCTGTTGTAGCAATGCTGGAAGCAGGGAAGGATTCTGTTGAATAATTTGTCTCATCTGTTGAAACTGAGGCTGATTCCGTAAAAATTCAAGAGGGTGTCCTAAAATACACATGAACACTTTTAAACAAAAATAGCAATTACATATACAAACACAATCTAGACAGCAAACACTGTCAAGAAAAAATATGATTTGAATTCTCAGATGTATATAAAATGAAGTAAATAATGAAAACATCTTCAAACTGCACCAGCTCGCAAGTCTCATATTGCAGAAATTATTCCTATTAGCTAAGGTAGAGAGTACAGAACACTAAAAAAACACAAAGTTTTCCTACAATTGCCCTGGGCACTCAATATTATCAAGTAACACCGAGAACTTGTGCCCTTCGTGCACTCTATCAAAATAAAAAGTATTAAAAGTTGTTCTTGATGCTCAAAAGTTCCTAAGAAAAATATATAACAGGATTAAGAAACGCAAAAAAAGTACCTACTTTAATTGCATTCAAAAGAATCATGCTTTTGAGGTTGCTAAGAGTAATGAGAATTTTTTAGATGTACACTGTCATCTAAATTATTCAAGACAATCATTCAAATTAAAAATGGCCACATCGGGCTTCCCTGGTGGCACCGTGGTTGAGAGTCCACCTGCCGATGCAGGGGACGCGGGTTCGTGCCCTGGTCCGGGGAGATCCTGCATGCTGCGGAGCGGCTGGGCCCGTGGGCCATGGCCACTGGGCCTGCGCGTCCGGAACCTGTGCTCCGCAATGGGAGAGGCCACAGCGGTGAGAGGCCTGCGTACCGCCGAAAAAAAAAAAAAAAAAGGCCACATCATATGGTTATTTATTCTTCTTTGTGTAACACCAGTTTTACAGAAGAAGAAAACGGACTCAGAAACTAAGTTACCCAATAACTGCCACTGAATGGGACAGCACCCCAAATCTGAACCAAAGCTGTGGCCTCCTCTTCTATTTCCATGCTGAATCTCAGGAAATGAGAGCCTATCCTCCGGGAGACTGCACACAAAGTGCTTAGGGATTTCTGTCAACCAGAGATGACTGCTATAATTAGAGCTAGGAAATACATAAAAGAATGGTCTCTTCAAAAGTAACAGTTTGAATTACTTTATCAATTTTACAAAGAAATAATGAAAGAGAACATTAAATAATTCCTAGGACTACCACGGGCTCCAGGCTTTGCTTTCTAGTCAAACCTTTGCCAATGGAAGAGTGGGTGCTGTAAAGACACCTGAATTCAAGCTCTGCTTTCACCTCTAGATTCAAGATATTAAACCTCCCAGGTTTTATTTCCTTGGTTCTATAATAACCATTAAGATCCTACTGGCTTTGAAGACATTTACTGGGAGAGAAAGAGACAAGGTGAGGAAACCGTTCCAAACGGCTTCAGAATATAACACTAAATGCAAACTGGAAAGCATCTCTTCCTTAGAATAAGCTAAACAGAATATGCCCTTTACCAAAACTGCAGTAATGATGTTTAATATAAATGAGAATATCTTTTATATCCACTTAGTATAATTTCTTTTGGGCCCTTCTCTAACACTGAATAGAGAATTTAAGAGTTACTGAGATGCTCTGGGAATGAACCTCATCTCAAAAGTATTTTAGATTAAATTATTTTTTACTAAAGATTCAGGACCATTTCCTCCCCACTGAAAGATTCCACTTTACCTCCAGAACTTGTTGTCGTAGTCGTTGCTGTCGTAGTTGCTGCTGCTGCAGCCACTGAAGACTGAGGAGCCCCAGTACTCGCTGCTGGAGGGGGGTCAACCACAGCCTGACTTTCTCTATCTCCGGGAATTCCCTATAACACAATTTCCAAGCTTTAAAATAGCTCATCATTCAAAGTTAGTTAAATATTACACAGAGTAAGAGACTTATGAACCTATTTAATATCCTTGTCTAATTTCTAAAAGCATCAAACAGATGTCTGCTTCAATTAAATGTAAAGGATCAAGACATACCTGAAATCTTCACATATTCAAATTAGATTAGAGATGGCCTCAATGTGGTATAGATAAACCCATACTACTATCATATACAGTAGCATTGTCCAACAGAACTTTCCATGATGATGTAACAGCTCTATATCTATGCTGTCCAATAAAATACCCATTAGCCCCAAGTAGCTACTGAGAACTTGAAATGTGGCTAATGGTACTAAGACACTTAAAATTTTAACTTACTTTTAATTTTCTTAAATTTAAATAGCTACTTGTACTTAATAGTACTCAACAGCTACCCTACTAGACAGTGTACATCTAGGATATAAAGTAAATAATTTTGCAATTAAAAAAATACATCATGAAATGTTTATCCAGCAACACATGTTAACATCTAACACCAAAGTATTGGGCAAGACCCTAAACTTGCATAGAAGTAATGGTGTCTAACATTATATGGCTAATTATTTAAATTTTCAAAGTGTCAACACAAATCTTATTAAAATTAGACATATCTGGCTTTTATGTTATATATCACTCTAATTGATTTTTGAACCTCACAGAAACTTTCACCAGCTCAGTGACAGAAAGGATTGTATTTTTAACCCTAGCCTTAAGATCATCCAAAGAGATTTTGATGCACACATGGCAGTTGTGAAGTGATCACTGGAAAAAGAGTCTAATGGAGACAGAGCAGGTGATGACAGCAGCCAAGTGAGGAGGATGTCCTCTACTGATCCATGGTTCTGAGAGAGTGTCATCCAGAAATGTATCACATACAAAAACTTAAAATTGATTATTCAAAAACTACAAAAAGTAAAGGGAATTCCCTAGCGGTTCAGTGGTTAGGACTCCACACTTTCACTGCCGAAAGCACGGGTTCAATCCCTGGTCAGGGAACTAAGATCCCACAAGCTGCATGGCACAGCCAAAAAAAAAAGTAAATAGGTATAAAAGAATCTTAAATAATTAAGTATTTAGGTAATGCTTTTTCTAAGTTTGTGGCATTTATCTTCTGAAGTTATTATAACTTAAAACTGCACTAAGATTTTTGGAACACCCCTATTTTGATAAGCGATTTATAAGACTTCTCATATATAACTTACTAAAGTCTTTATGAAATCTTCATAGATTTTGGAAGGAGAATAAAGGAGAAAATATTGTATTTGAATATGAGATGGTAATAGTAATTGCTTCCATTTCCCAGTAAATCAGAAGCCAAAATCATAAACATATGAAGAATGAACGGTAATAAACAGCAGGATAATGGCTGCCTATATTAGAAGTTTATTGTAGGCATTGCAAACAAATGTTTTTCACAATCCACCAATTCAAACCCTTAGATGAGGAGCTATCGAGTGCTAACAAACTATATAGACTGAGGATCCAAAAGCCTCCATCAAATTCTCAAACAAGTTTGTTAAACTAAAAAGTTAATCACCATTGCTACAGGTCTACCTCAAATTCTCATAGTATTTAGCCCTTTATTAGATCATTATTTCTCCTTTCCCATACACTCACCCTCACTTACACAGAAGTGTCAAAAACTAGTAAGTTAAAGGTAGCCCCTTTTTTCCAGTCTATGAAACAAACAGTAAATATATAAAACTTTAAACTGTTTCAGGAACTTATCTCTCATCTATTCATTTGTATTTGATGCTAAATAGCAGCAACTGTGTAAAGAGTGATCCATTTTTTATACCTCAAAATTTCAAATCTATTAGATCAAAATATTTGATATCATTAAATTTATGCAGAATTCCAAATCAGGTATAAATTAAAGCCATTCTATGAAAGGAAAGGCAATATTTTAACATAATATGTATTTTTGCGGGGAGGGGAGGAATGAGCGGCAACCACAAACAGATCCACAGTAACTATCAATCCAGTATGATTCCTCAATTTCAAACAAAATGATAATTAAATGAACTGCCAGCATTTTAAAGACTCTCAAGAGGACAATGGGAAAAAGAATTCAAATGATAAAATGATATGCTAAGAAAAGGTTTTGTGACTCTCATGCAAATAAGTAGGCAAATGACTGGTGGTAGAAAAGCACAGTTATCTGCTCATGACAGGGACTCTCCTGAAACTACGCTCTCAAAAGAGTTTCTAACAGAAGTACAACTGGAAACAAAGGAATGGATTAAACTTGTGGATGGTATTCCCCAAAGAGTTAGGATCTGAGATGATATTTAAAGTAATTGAGACTTTTGATAATATTCCAACACACCCAGGAATTATAGAATAAAATGTTAAGACTAAAAAGTTAATCCAATGTTATTGCAAACTTCTGCACTTTGCTTTTGACCCATGTCACATTTGTAAAACAGACATTCATTGTCATAAAACATCATGGGTTTCAGTCCATGCCCACAACAATCTATTTCTCAAAAACCTTCATTAGTAGAAAACAAAACCCAATAATTTATTCAAAATTCCCTCAACTGCTACTGACTATAAATAAGCTAACAGTTCAAATGCCAATAGAACCAGTCATAATATCATACATTAAATTAAATGCATGATGCTGTCAGGTAATAGGGAATGGACAGGAAGACAGTGAATTAAAGAGTCTACAACCTAAAACTTTTCCTAAATCTGGGATCTGAGTTGTCCAGATAAACCAGATTATCTGAACTTTTAAGTGAAATCTCCCAGTTTTTAAAAGCTGGCAACTAATTAAGAAATTTACACATAGTACAAAATTTGGCTTGGGCTTCCAACTTGAAACTTTTGCTCTAAATAGCACATCCAGGATTATGCTTGGCAGGCACTAAAATGTTGGATTCAATTAGATTTAAAATCTGCCCCACCCCTACCCCTCTAACACACAGCTGTCATCCTTTGAGGGTACTACTCCAAGTGGATAGCAAATTTTACAACCCATTTAGCCACGTTGTTTTCTAATTGAAAATCCTATCAAAATCTTTTAGAAGAGGTTACATTTTATTAACACAAAATGTTAACATACTAAGAAAAATAAAAGCGTTATGTAAATTATCTAGCATACATCATTATTATCTTCTGAATTGTTACTATCCCTTTAAAATCTCTGTTTCTTTGAGATTTTGTTCTTAAACAACTAGAACAAAGAAAGCAAAATGTTTCTCACCATTAAAAGATACTCCACTGCTCTGTCAGGGTTGTTGAAACTGGCTCTCAGGGCTGCAATTACTTGCTCTCGTTCGTAGCCCATTGACATGATCTCAGTTACCATATTCTCATAAGACTGACCTGTCACTAAAAAAAGGTGTGTGTGGGTGGAAGAAGGGGAAAGAAAAAGAAAATTTAATAAATAAACAATCTCCATGTAATGTGAGTGCATATATGTATACACTGTTTCAGGCACTACAGTGCCAGGAATACAAAGATGAGTAACCGTTATCAACTACAACATATATGTGGTAGGTAGAATAATCCACCCCCTCCCATCCCTGGAAACTATTAAGTAAGTCAGGTTACAAGGCAAAAGGGAATTAAGGTTGCTAATCAGCTGACTTTAAGATAGGGAAATCATCCTGGACTACCTGGGTGGGTCCGATGTAATCTTAAGGGTCCTCAAAAGTAGGAGGGAAGCAGATGAGAGGGTCGGAGAAATAGATGTAAGGAAGAGAGGGACAAAAGCAGGGTCAGAGATGCTATGCTGCCACCTTTGATGACAGAGGAAAGGGATGAGCCAAGGTATGTGGTCAGCCTCTAGAAGTTGGAAAGGACACAGAACAAATTCTCCCCTAGAGTCTCCAGAAAGGAATGCAGCTCTGATTTTAGCCCAGTGAGCTCCATACCAGACTTCTAACCTACAGTACTATAATAAGATAATAAATCTGTTGTTTTATACCACTAAGTTGTGGTACAGAGCAGCAATGGAAAATACAGTGTTTAATACACGTAATAAAAATATCAAGTACAAGTGTAGCACAAACATAGAAAAGAATTAGCAAGTCAGGGCAGTCAGGGCAAACTGGAAGAAGAGACAGATGAACTGATTTTTGAGAACAAGTAGCAGGGACACTTCACAAAATCAATTGTGCTGTAATAAGTTGTTTTCCTTGGACACCTTCCGTTATCAAAGCAGAGGGGAAAAGGAGGTTGGAAGCTAGAAAGTTAGAATGCCCTACACCGTATAAAACTGGTACAATTATCCCTGTAAGGCATTTCCCACAGGATCTCTCCAACTCTGACTCACTCTTCATGGAAATGTCAGACAACACTCTCATTTAAAGAAAGCCAACTCTCTCCCACTAAACTTAAAGCTACCACACTTCTTGTCCATCTCCCACCCTTTCCTGCCCACCTAATTATCTTGATCAGCAGTTAACTATGTCCTAGAATGTCATCCTAAAAACAAAAACACGCCTCCCTTGACTGCATCCCAATTCTCTTTCAGGAATTGGTCCATGCGTCTGCTCTCCTCCCTTCACAGCCATAGCTGTCTGTACATGCCGTGTCCACTTCTCACATTCTGCTCACTCCACAACCAATACCAGCATGTGACTTTGGATCTCAAAGATTCCCCCTCAAACATGTCCCACCATTTATCATCTGCCTTCTCCACTTCAATTAGCAGCACCTCTATCCATCCAAGTGCTTGAACCAGAAACCTTGGTGATTTCAATTCCCTTTCCCCTCCTTCTGCATCTAATCCACTAGCATACCTGGTAGGTCCTATCTCTAAAATATATCCCAAACCTATCAAGCTTCCTCTTTCTCCCTGCCTTAACTCAAGACCAGTCCACAACAATCTCTGGTCTAGATTATGCCCTGCTTCCTCTCCTGCCCCCAAGCCTACAATCCATTCTTCAGCCAGTTGCAAAAGTGAGCTTTTAAGAAAGAAAACCTAATCTCATTTTGGGCTCCCAACCTCAACAACCCTGCATGTGCCACACTCCAAACAATCCATTTCTTGCTTCACAAGTCACAGCTTCTGCCCCAGGACCTTCACACACACCAGGCTTCTTTGATGGTCTGTTCCTTTACATGCTCCAGTTCTCAATTTAAATGCTACAGTCTCAGAGAGGTACTGCCTGACTAGCCTAAATATAAGTGCCTTTTGTTCTTCTTTATGGAAGCCATTAATTTTTAAATATCATTTATCATGATTTGCAATTTATTTTATGTTTCACTCTATTTTCTTTCCCCCATCACAGGTTCAACCTTGCTAGGGACCATGCCATTTTTGCTTTACTGTTTCCCTGATATACAGGTGACAAAATCAGTTGAATGATTTTTTTCTGCAGAATTTTTTCTTATTTCATATAGTATATTACACTAAAACTCTGGTCTATCTAGCCCCCCAACCCAGTTTCATTGAGAAATAATTGACATACATCACTGTATAACTGTATAAGTGAAAGACACAGAGCATGACGGCTTGACTTACGTATATTGTGAAATGATTACAACAGGTTCAGCTAACATCCATCTTCTCACATGGATACAACAAAAAGAAAAAAATTTTTTCTCCTTGTGACGAGAACTCAGGATTTACTCTCAAAAACTTTCTTATATGCCATACAGCAATGCTAGCTACCTAGTCATCATGTTGTACACTACATCCCTAGTATTTATCTTATAACTGGAAGTTTGTACCTTTTGACCATCTTCTTCCAACTTCCTATCCCCCATCCTCTGCCTCTGGAAACCACTTTGAGTTTGATGATTTGTTTTGTTGAAGAGTCTACATATAAGTGAGATCCTATAGGAGCTGTCTTTCTGACTTATTTCACTTAGCATAATAACTTCAAGTCCATCCATGTTGCTGCAAATGGCAGAAACTCCTCACTTTTTATGGTTGAGTAATACCCCATTATGTGTACACACACACACACACACACACACACACACACACAACCCTGCTTCTTCATCCATTCATCCATCGATGGACATTTAGGTTTGTTCCATGTCTTGGCTATTGTAAATAATGCTGTTATGAACATGGGGATGCAGGTATTTTTTCAAGTTAGTGCTTTCATTTCCTTTAGATAGATTCCCAGAACTGGAACTGCTAGATCATAGTTCCATTTTTAATTTTTGAGGAACCACCATGCTGTTTTCATTTTTAATTTTTGAGGAACCACCATGCTGTTTTCCATAGTAGCTACACCAATTTACAATCCCACCAACAGTTTACAAGGGTTCCTTTTTTCCACATCCTCACCAGCATTTGCTATACCTCGTCTTTTTGATGATGGCCATTTTAACAGGCCCGAAGTGGTATCTCATTGTGGTTTTAATTTGCATTTTCCTAACAACTAGTGATGTTAAGCATCTTTTTATATACTTGTTGGTCTTTTGTATATCTTCTTTGGAGAAATGTTTATTCAAGTACTTTGCCCATTTTAAATTGGTTTGGTTTTTTTTTTTTGCTATTGAGTTGTATGAGTTCTTTATATATCATGGATATTAACCTCTTATTATATACATGGTTTGCAAATATTTTTTCCCATTCCATAAGTTGCCTTTCTACTTTGTTGATGGCAAAATTTTCAATAAAGTTATCTAATAACTATGAAAGCATAGCTTAAAAAACTAAGTATCACTGAGCAAATTCAGCATTTGATATCTTGGTTTAGAGTAATGACTTTTCCCTACCTATTCCATAAAGTACTTAAGCTATTTTTATCTCTTAAAATACCCACTGATATAATTCTAGCACAAATCACTCAGGTGCCAATACACTTTCAGTAATCTAGTTCCCAGAAACAGAAAATATTATCAATAATAAACAAAATTAAGAGTTGTGGAGTATCATAACTGTACTATTTTAACATAGTGTTTCTCATTTAATTCTTACAGGAACTCTATAAGAAAGGTTTATTTTCCCTTCCTTTTAAAGATTATGAGGCTGAGGCTTAGAAAGATTAACAATTTGATCAACGGCTGTTAAGTCATGGTGCAGAGACACAAACACAAGCTGTCTAGACTCCAGAGCTCCCATGCCTCTCCTTGATGCTATGCGTCCTAAAATCACACTTCTTAGTCAAGTTATAAAAACTCAAAAAGAAATGCCTACACTCAAGTTTGATACTCTTTAGATCCTGAAAGTATGAGGGAAATGACTCCTAGAAAAATTAGGGGCAATGAGCAACATGAGACAGAGCTAATGATGAAGTGATGAAGAAGATGTCATTAAGAATGAGTTTTGGGGGACTTCCCTGGTGGTTAAGAATCCGCCTTCCAACACAGGGGATGTGGGTTCGATCCCTGGTCAGGGAACTAAGATCCCACAGGCCGCAGGGCAACTAAGCCCGCATGACGCAACTACTGAGCTCACGCACCACAACTAGAGAGAAGCCCACGCGCTGCAACAAAGAGCCTGCACGCCGCAATGAAAGATTCCGCGTGCCGCAACTAAGACCCAACACAGCCAAAAATAAATAAATATTAAAAAAAAAAAAGTCTTGTACTTATCTTCTAGATTAGGAGGTGCTCTGAAAGGAACAATGACCTCATTTAGATTTGCCTTTTAGAAACTCCACTGTGGCAGGGAATAGACCAGCTAAAAGAGGGTAACAGAAGAGCATCAGTAAGGTAAGGACATGAACCAAGGCAATTAAGTGGCAGTAGAAACAAATATTCAGGAGACTTTAGGAAGGAGGATCAATAGGACTCCTGGCCTCACTGGGCCAAGAGAGGCAGAGGGTCAAGGTTGATGCCAATACTTTGGTAGAGAGTGGAAGATGATGCAAGCAAGAAGGGAACAAAGGAGAAGAATCAGATGGGGGAATTAAAAATTAATAAATTTGGAACCTAAGGAGTTTGTGGAGGTTATAGGTTTTCCAGCTGGCAGCTTAAAGAATGAGTCTGGGAAGTCAGAGGGAGATATGTTCTAGAGTTTTAATTTTGAGAACGCTTGTAGTACAGTTAACCCTTGGACAATATGGGTTTGAACTGCACAGATCCACTAATAATCAGATTAAGTCTATTCCTAGTACACTACTACATGATCCATAGTTGGTTGACTCTGCAGAACCGTGGATACAGAGGCCTGACTGTAAAGTTATAGATGGATTTTTGACTACATGGGGTTGGCGCCCCTATCCCCTGTGTTGTTCAAGTGTCAACTGTATATGGGTGGTATTTGCCATTCCCATGTCTGAACTTTGAACTATGACCTAGAGCAGAACCAAAGAAAACTCATACATTTAAAAGCCAGGTGAGATAGAAAGAATTAACCAGAAAGCCTGAGAAGGAATAGTCAGAGGTACGGTTCAAGAAAAGAGTGGTGTCACAGAAGTCAAAGAAGAAATATTTAAAGAAGCAAGGTATCAACACAAAGACTGGATAAATTAAAGATGAAAGAGTAAAGGGGTCTCGAGACCATACAGTTGAGAACTGCTGTTCTAAGAGATGCAAGGTGTATAAGGTAAGACACCACGACCAGAGACTAGAGCAGGAGCAACTAGAGCTGTGGACTCCTGGGCTTCCGCCCAGCAGCATCAGTGCATTCCAGCTGAAGCAGCAACGGCAACAGCCACAGCCTCCGACAGCAGCAGGGGCACGTGCTAGCTGGTTTCAGCTCTGAGGCTACAGAGCCCTTTACTCATCTCTGGGTAATCTTGAGCTGTTCCAGCACCTCTGCAACAATCTCCTAAGATTAAGCCTTTTCGTGTTTGAAATAGAGTGATTTCTGTTTTCCTGATTGTTGGACACTAACTCATATGAAGCAGAGTAATCCCAGAAAACAGTCTCTCAAAGATAGGAATGTGGGTTTGGTACATCCAGGTGATCTTAAGTTGATTAAACAACTATTTTGCCCCTATGTGCTATGGGAAATCAGCCAGCCATTTTCCATGGCAATGAGGGCACCATGGAGTTCAAGTTCAATTAGGTCAGAGGGCCAATCCCATATCTTGTGAGATACTACTGCTGTTGGAACCTTGCTGCTGTAGCAGCTAAACAAGGAATCCAGAAGCCCATACTCTACTGAAGCTGCCATTCCCACCTGTTCCCAGCCTTCTACCTCCCTACCATTTCATGTAGTACAGAAGAGTACCAAAGGGAAGGAATGGGGTTGCCACCCAACAGACCAATAATGAGTACTTATAGCAGGCACTGTACCAGGTATAGTTACAGTGGGAAAATGGGCAAAAAACCCCAAATTGATTTTGACAGATTAGATGTGAAGGGAAGGATGGAAAGACATTATTCAACAGGTAAAACTGAAAGTCGGGATAAAAAGGCACTTTCACTGCAAGTACAGTACAAGCAACAAGATGCAGATGGGGACCTATAAGGCTACAAGGTGGAATGAAGGCTGGAGGTGAATAAAGATGAAATGTGAGACAGATTTAGTAACATCTTATACTCATTTCAAAGATACTTTGTAATAAACCTGTACACAGATCAAACTTTGTTAAAACCTCATTTAAACCCCACATTCGGAAAATGGAAAACTATCTGCTTTAAGGCAAGAAGTATGCTTAACTCTAACAATACAATTTAAAGGATTCAATATATAAAACGTTAACTTACAAAAGTCTTCAGTAACATCAACTGAATTATCTAAATCATTTAGCCGCCTGATTGTAAGCAACCATGAAAATGAACATTTTCCTGATCTAGAAAAATGAAACTTAAACCTCCTCTCTGTCTCTTACAAGGTAATTTACAATGTAGATACTTACCAAGTGCACTTGTTGCATCTTCAAAAAGGTTTGACCGAGAAGAATCACCTGATGTACTGTAAAATGTTTTTAGAAAATCATGTATCAGAAAGTATGTAAAATCTACCTTAAAGTTTAGTAGCTATCCAATTTGTAGAGATTCTTTGATTTTAATTGAATGTAGAAGTCTGGCTACAGTGTTCAAAAAGGCTTCCAGATTAAACCCCAAAGCTTTATCCATAACATTTATGGCATGGGAAGAATTTTCAATTTTAATACTCATTCTGTTCTGCAAATCCATCATTTAAAATGTCCAAAGATATAAAAGAACATCCTTACAGAGAGCTTACCATTTAAGGAATACAAAAAAGATAACATACAACTAATTCCCTGAAAGAATTTACATGAAAAATTAAATAATCTATAAGTCAAGTCACAGTAAAAGAAATATCAAAAGCTGTATATGATAAACAGCACATGCAGAAACTGCATTAGGCTGGAAAGGCCTGGGAAGTCTTTACATAGTAGAATTTCATTAGGTCTTATAGTTAAGTTCTGAACACAGAAACTGCAAGAAAGCCTTCAGGTCAAGGAACGCAGCATAAACAAAAAGATGCAGAGGCAGGATAGACCCAAGCTGTAACCAAGTTTTAAGCCAGTTTAGAAGGACTAAGTTTTGTTAGGCAATTGCAGAAGATGAGTCCAGAAAACAAAGAAGACACAAACACAACAATGGAAGACCATAAAGAGAAGGCCGAAGAAAAATAAACTGAGGTTTACAAAAGTGGTAAAGACAGCAGTTAGCAGTTTTGAGTAAAACATACATACAACACAATACACACATATACCTCTGTCCCAATTTCAGAAACAAAACACAGTAGACTTCAGTTCTGAGAAAACCCTACAGCATAGTAAGAGTAACGGAAATACCTAAGTTTGAATTCATAAATTACTTTGTAAGCCTCAGTCAGTTCTTCACCAATACAATGAGGTCAACAATGGTACCCATGTATCCCTAAGTGCTGTGGGTAGGGTTACTGCTGGTAAAGTGCTCAGCAAAGTGCCTGGTATCATAACACTCAACATGATTGTTATGATTAAGACAATACTTTGGTATAATTTTTAACGTATCTTCATCAACTAGATAGTAAAATTAACATGTAGAAGGCAAAATTTCAAAAAGAACTATATACTACAGTTCTATACTATATATATAGGAAAACAAATTATCCTGCCTTAGACCTGACCTGTGTCTTGTTGTTGTGTGTTTGAACAATTACTGCATGTCAGCAGAACTACAACTGCCTAAATTTTCCCCAGGGGTGCATAGTATTCCATTTAATTGACCAAATCAAACTATAAAGACATTTTTTGTTTGGTTTCCAACCTTTAAATTCTTTCTGTAGTCAAATGTATTAATCATTCCTTTTAAGACTTTTTTGGGTTAAGATTATTTTCCCATGCTCTCCTCTAGTTTATGGTTTCACTTTTACATTAAATCCCTATCCATCTAAAATTTATTTTTATGAGTGTAAGATGTGATCCATCTTTTTTTTACCTCCAGATGGCTAGACATTTATCCTAATAGCATTTTCCCCACAGTGGTCTGAAATTACATTTTTATCTTATATTAAGTCTCTGTATGTATTTTGTTCTGTTTCTAGACTACTATTTCACCAAGCAGTCTTTCTAGTTAAGAGCCATACTAAATTGTAATCATTACCATGCATAATACATTTTACTATCTGGTAGAATTAGACCCCTTTGTTACTGTTCTTTTATAGAACTATTTGTGCTATTTTTGCACATTGTTTTAAAATTTCTTTTTAAACATTACAGATAAGACTGAGATACCGTTTAACCACCATTCAATCTTGATTCTGCCTCAACACTCCTCCCCTCCCCATCCGCAGAGGAAACCACTTTATCAGTTAGTGTGTTGTCCCTCTGCTACTGTTTTTCTACACATTAATATGCCACCCACAGAAAATATGCAATGTTGTTGTGTGGCTTTTGTTCGGTTTGTGGTTATTGCCTATACTGTTCTGCAATCTGCTATTTTCACTTGATAACAAAGCCTTGAAACCACATTTATTTAATATGCATATATACTGCATACTTTAACTGGCCTGTCGTATTGGATATCAGAGCTCCTCAAACTATAAGAAGCCTAAAAATTCACCAGGAGAGCTTGTTAAAATACAGCTCTCTAGGACCCACGCCCAGAAATTCTTATTTAGAGGTCTAGGGTGGAGCCTAACAATTAATTTCAAACAAACTCCCAGTGATGCCGATGTTGTCTATTCACTACCACACTTGAATAGCACAGTTCTCTTAATACAAATAACATGTCGAGTCATGCCCTTACTAATGGATATTTAGGTTGGTTCCAATTTGTCCTCAATTACAAGCAATACAGCCCTTGTGCACAAGTGCAGTTTCTCTAATGTAGATATCAACAAGTAGAATTTGCACTGCAATATGTGGTTTTTAAAGAACAAAACTGACCTAAAGAAACAAATCCCTAATAATGAAATGTCAGGCCAGGGTGATAAACAAACTTTCTGACACTCCTCAAAATTCATACCAGCGTATCTCCTGATAATTATCTCACTGAGTTCTGTGCTTTATAAGACACTAAATGTTTTATAGCACAAATGAAGAAACTAAGGCACATTTAAAGCAGCTGGTTTTCTGAGCTTCCCTCCCTTCCCTTTCTGTGCTATCCTTCTCTGAGGTGTATAATTTCGGGAAATAAGAGTATAGGGTTGGGCTTCCCTGGTGGCACAGTGGATAAGAATCCGCCTGCCAATGCAGGGGACATGGGTTCGAGCCCTGGCCTGGGAAGATCCCACATGCCGCTGGGCAACTAAGCCCGTGCGCCACAACTACTGAGCCTGCACTCTAGAGCCCGTGAGCCACAACTACTGAGCCCACGTGCCACAACTACTGAAGCCCGCGCACCTAGAGCCTGTGCTCCGCAACAACAGAAGCCACCGCAATGAGAAGCTCACACGCTGCCAACGAAGAGTAGTCCCCGCTCACCGCAACTAGAGAAAGCCACACACAGCAACTAAGAACCAAAAGCAGCCAAAAATAAATAAATAGATAAATAAATTTATATTTAAAAAAAAAAAGTAAAAGGTTGGTGTACAAAGCCCAAGTAAGTAGGCAACTCTGGAGTCTGCTTTTCTGACCATCAACTCCTTTATGTAATCTCTATGGGTCTGAAAAGATAATCCTGACTCTTGAGAACAGATGAATAAAACTGTACCCCCAAGAAGAAATAAAAAGAATAGAGATAATAAAAAAACTTGAATTGATGATATTAGCACATTAAAATGGATTGATCAATTTGAGAATTCTTACACTATGGAGCTTTTTAAAAGGAGCTTAAAGCAATTAAGAAAATAAGATATACTGTACCAACTCAAGACATATTTAATTAAGTTTACAATGTTTAAATGATTTGGAAAACCAATTTGTGAAATTTATAAGTTCCCTCCCATACACAGAAAAGATGTAACAGCCTTTAGATGCAATAGCATAGGCCGACTCTGGGTTGTCTCCCACTAGTTAAGGGTGATTGTATGCAATTCTAGCTGCACGTGGGAGAAGTACCAAATTAGGCAACAGTGTTTCAGAATGCCTAAAGCAAAGTACAGCAGGCTGACATAGGGAAAATATTTTACTACCTGAACCTGTGTTCTCTTGGGGAATTAAATCCTTGAAAAGAGGCCCGAAGCAGTAACAAACCAGGTGACTCAAACCCCTCCCAACATGGCTGACTGACTCAAAGAAACGGCACTCAAAGACAGAACACTAAAATGAAAGATGATGAGAAAGAATTCATGACTAAATTCTTTCTCATCATTGTATTTATCACAGACATCCTTCTATGTCAGTGTTTCCAAATGCTGCATAGTTTTCCATTGTGACTGGTCCTAATTCCAGGACTCTACTGCCACTGAGGTCCTGAGTTGCACCAAAGTCACAAAATACAAACCGCTTGCTTCAGTGCCAATACATACTGGACACAAAGCAACTCAGGCTCTCAGATAAATAAGAGATTCCCGTGTATGATTTCCAGCCAAGAGAAGTGAAGCATTGTTTTGGTTATTTTATTTATCATTGGGGAAAAAAACCTTTGTCACAAACTACTCAATAATCCTAACTGCCAACTTCCCACAAGAACTTTTTTTTGCTCCCCAAATATCCCAGCACTTTTTCTTCTGTTCTAAAGATCTACATAGGCAAAAACTTAAATTTCTATACAACTTCACAAAGATGTAGATACTTACTCAGCACATACTGTGTGCCATGTGCTATATCATATCTTTTACTTATTTCATTTAATCCTTATAACAACTCTATGAGATAGGTCCTGCTGTCATCCACATTTTACAGATGAGGAAAAATCCAAAGACGTTAATTTCTTTTCTAAGGTTAAGACCTAACAAATGTTAGACCCAAACATAATACTACGTAGCAACTGGAAAAATTTACTGACATGGAAGGATGTTTATGATAGGTGTGACAATAGTGAAAGAATATAGGTCAAATATAATAATGAGTGGGGGAAAAATGTCAAGTTATTTATAATGTGTCAAGCTATAATATACTGTCAGATTATTTTATAATTCTCCTTCTTTTTGGTCATTTGTATTTCCTAACTTTTCTACACAAAATGAATAATGACTTTGACCCCTTTCCCTTCACCCTGGGAGAAAAAAAAACAATGCAGAGTATACAAATTCAGATTACCAAACAGACACAAGCATACTGCTTTAGTCAGGGTTCAAAGTTTAGAAAAAGTTTAACATAGTAGATAGAAAGTTAGTTTGATCAAAACAATAATCAAAATAAATACATTCATGAAGTCACTGTTATGAACATATTCCTATACAATTTCCTAGAATCCAGTTCTTACCTGTCAGTTGATGTTGGGCTAGCGGCCACTGGTGTTTCTGCTGGCTTTTCTGCAGGTTTCTCTTGTTTTGTTGCACTAGCAGGTGCAGCAGGTTCAGAAGACGCTGTCGTTGATGCTGGAGTGACAGATGCAGGTGTGGGAGTGGGAGCCAAAGTGGGGGCAGGGGTTGGGGCCTGAACCACAGTTGGTGCTGTGGAGGAACTAACTGTGGTAGTGGTGGCAGAATTTGATTGCTGAGTTGTAGCTGGTGCTGGTGTTGTCACTGCTTTGGGCTAAACACATTACAAATCAAAATAATGCATTATGACAAAACACTGCATTATTACCTGATCTCTGGATGCTACAAACAAACATAACACTAATACAAGTTTGTAACTTGAAAATAATTTTGTAAGGTGACATAATGAGTGATCAATAGCAGCAATCTGAATCACTATTTATGTTATTCTTTCAAAGCTGATGAGAGCATATATATTAACTATTAACTTCCATTAGCTTTAGCCAACGGTTTCAGTCTTCGGATCATTATGAAAAAGAACCAAAAGAAGCAAATATTTTAAAACGTACAGAATGTGTATCCAGAAAAAGAACCACATAATTCCCCCCCAAAACTTCACAATTAAAGTTTCTTGGTTACAACTTCAAAGTATTTATCGTCATTTGAAAGCAACAAAAATAACGTTCTTGAAATGAAAGTATAAACAGAAGTATGATTAATGAACATGCCAGAAAGTCTACTGTATTTTAGAGGAGGGAAGAAAATCCCAATATTGACTACAAGCCAATAGGTGTAAGTACAAAGAGATTAACATAACTTTTGAAATGTATATACAGTTAAACCGACAAATAAAGGCCAAATAAAGTTATAACCGCATGCTCAGCACTTTCTGAACTAGAATCAGAGCCATAAACATTCCCACCAAGCAAAAAGCAATTACATATGGGTAAAAATCATATTATATGAGTTTTATTCTTCTACAGCCTATCAATACTCACTACCTGCTTAGCTCATAACTTACCTAAGGTGAAAAGGTAACTGATTTGATGGAAGATGAGATTAAAATTCAATATAATTTGCCCCAAGTATAAATCAACAAACTGTAAATGCAATGAGTGGATTTGTGCCTTGTTCTATTTGAGCTAGTATAGAGTGTACTGGAAAAAAGTGCCTTGTGCAAGGTAGGGGGATGGGACTTACCTATCCTGCTTCACTCTTAGTTATGTTCTAAATAGTCAACGTTACTATAATACTAAAGGAAATAAGACCATAACAAATACATACCCAAATGTGTGGCTACCACATTTTCCACTATGTACTATGTATGATAAAACTAGACAAGGGAATACTATTCAGCCTTAAAAAGGACAGAAATTCTGGCACATGCTACAATGCGGATGAACCCTGAAGACATTATACTAAGGGTAATAAACAAGTCACAAAAGGACAAATACTGTATGATTCCACTTATACGAGGTATGAAAAGTAGTCAAATTCATAGAAAGGAGAACAGTGGTGTCAGGGGCTGGGGGGCGGGGGAAATGGGTAGTTACTGTTTAACAGGTACAGAGTTTCAGTTTGGGAAAATGAAAAAAGGTTTAGAAACAGATGGTGGTGATGGCTACACAACAATGTGAATGCATTTAATGCCAATGAACCAAACACTTAAAAATGGTTAAATCTGTAAATTTTGTGTTGTGTACCACAATTTTTGAAAAAACTAGATGAGGCAAAGTTTCCTCATATGATTCTGTTCCTGTGTATTTAAAGTTTAACATTTAATAAGTGCTTAAATATAGCAAAATCAATATGGTTCTTAATAGATTTAAAAAAATTAAGTCCAGTACATATAAACTGTTTAGCTGCTTTTCATTTCTCACTACAAAAGTATTCCATAATTAAAATTTACTTGCTCACTAGGGGCAAGACGGGAATAAAGACGCAGACCTACTAGAGAATGGACTTGAGGATACAGGGAGGGGGAAGGGTAAACTGGGACAAAGTGAGAGAGTGGCATGGACATATATATACTACCAAATGTAAAATAGCTAGTGGGAAGCAGCCGCACGGCCCAGGGAGATCACCTTTGTGCTTTGTGACCACCTAGAGGGGTGAGACAGGGAGGGTGCGCGGGAGGGAGACGCAAGAGGGAAGAGATATGGGGATATTTGTATATGTATAACTGATTCACTTTGTTATAAAGCAGAAACTAACACACCATTGTAAAGCAATTATACTCCAATAAAGATGTTAAAAAAAAATTTACTTGTTCAACTTTGTTTTCTACTGCATATATCAATTACTTTGAGACTTTAAAAGAAACTCACATTTATTCTATCTTCAGTCTTTGACAAACTGGTTTCCAATTACCTATTTAAATTTATTTTGGGTGCTACAAATAACACTACTCTTCTGAGATTATTAGGAGTTTAGAATTTAGGATCATAATTCAGTCCTAAAAGTATCATGAGCACCACCACTCCTCTATTTGTCTTAACTCTCTACTGCATGTTTACGTATCTTTAAACAAGTATATAAATAAAACAAAAATCCTGAAAGAATCCATATTCATTCTCTGCTTTAGAGAAAAACTTTTGACTTTTATTTCAGTCCAATAAATCACAAAAAAGTTCCTGTTAAAAACCTTCTCACAATAATCATTCCATCATTCGCTTAGCTGTCTTTTCCCTTTTTTAGTTTCTAAAAATCTATCCCACTGGCTAAGAAATATCACTGACATTGTTAATCTATATGTCTTTTTGGCCCTGAAGTATTTGTTAGGTCTAGTACATCAATTAGCAAATCCTTTTAAGGCACTCTTATTAAAAACTACAAAATGAGAAACACTTATTCAATTTTTAAGAATCACATTCTCTAATAATTATACAAGTAGTGATTTTACTAATCCAACAATACCTAATAATTTTTAACATGACACTTCACATATCAGTTGTTTTGACATATTTAAAATTATGCTCAAACTACAAATATATGAAACTATTAACTTTATAGTTGACTCAAAGCAAACTGTTAAAATCTTTAATAACAATTAAGTGCATGCCACTATGGATGTGTATAAACTGTTTTCACTTGAAAGTGTAAAGCAAGACTTGGGATCATCTTTTTTTTCTTTTTTTAAACTCACATGCATAAAGATATATACAACGAGCTTGAAACTTACTTTTGTCACCATAACTACCACGAAGTTTTTCTCATCAATTTTATATTCTTTTAGAGCAGTATCATCATTGAGGATTTTGCCTAGCACATTAAGAAAAAAACATATTACTGAAGGCACCGTAACTTTGTCTTACACTAACTGAGGTTAAAACAATCACCAACATCAATTCTATTAAAACTTTCCCCAAAGAAAAAGATTAACCAGTCAGCCAAGATAAACATAAGTGGATACATGATTAGTTAAGAAGGCATAAATAAATATTTGACTAAAAGACAGCAAACTCATATACTGTATGTAGATATCTCAATCCCAAACATTTCTTTAAAATTATTACTTATAATAAAAAAGACTTGCTGGGTAAGGAAATATTAACTAGGTCCTGAGAAAGAGGAGATCATGAAGACAAATAAAATTCAATTTTGAGATGCTCAAGGATTCCCCACCCCTTCCCCGGAATAACCTATAATCCCTCTTGATGGAAGGAAAAATGAACGAACTGCCTGCTCCCACAAATACTGGATACCTGCAACACAGAAATGTTCCACTGCTATAAAAATAAGATACTCATAGTGTCCTGATACACAGAAATGGTAAGATAATATAGAACTGAGTAAGGCACACAGACTATGTAAGATTTTAGTCATGCAGAAGGACAAATGTAAGGTCAGGATTCCTTCAGGCTTCCTTTTCCTTGAAATTCGTTTTCCATTTTTAAAAAGTTATTGAATCAAAAGGTGCAAGCATTAAGACAAAAGGGAATAGTGTCTCTACTCAGCATAGGATTGAAAAAACAGGCCAAGACTAGGAAGCAGAAATTCTAGTTTTATGTCTGCCATCAACTACATGCATCTCTTCAGGCTTCTGATTCCTCATCACAGGGCTGGTGTTTCCTCTAAACCACCTCAGTTAAGAAAATACTTTAAAATCTCTATGTAGGAAGAGACAAGAATCCATGGGCAACTCAAGATCCACCTTACCGACATCTACAATGACAGTGCTCAGTATTTCTTCTCAAGAACAAAGAAAAGAATTTTCTCCACAAAATTCACATATCAAGTCTATTTTTAACACACATTTTTCTGGTTACTAGTGAGGCTAGTTAATTTACAATTTCCTATTCATATCCTTTGTTGCTTTTTAATTGGGTCATCCTCTCTTTACTGATCTGTAAGAGCTCTTTATATAATCTGAATATTAATCTTTCTTCTCCTGTTGCTTATTTATAGTGTCTTTTGACATATAAGGTCTTCTGTAGTCTTCAATTTTGGTATTTTATTTAAAATACAGATAAACTGAAATTTAATTTCACAGGAATGATTCCAAGTACATTAATACACATAATCAGTATAAATGGTTTCATTCCAATAGATTAAAAAAGATGCTCAGCTTGATGGGAAAACTGAAGAAACACGTGGACCCCTATCTTGCACCACTCACAAAAATTAACTTGAAATGGATCAAAGACTTAAACATAAGGTCTGATACCATAAAACTCCTGGAAGAAAGTGTAGGGAAGAAAGTCAGAGATTTTGGTCTTGGCAATAATTTTCTGGGCATGATGCCAAAAGCACAAAAAATAAAACAAAAAAAATGGACAAATGGGACTACACCAAACTCAAAAGCACTGCACAGCAAGAAACAAATAACAAAATGAAAAGAATTCCACAGAATGGAACAAACTACAGAATGAGAGAAAAATTTTGAAAACCATATATCAGATATGGGGTTCATATCCAAAATACATAAAGAACTCAGTCAACTCAATAACAAAAAACCAAACAATCTGATTAAAAATCAGCAGAGTAAACCAACATTTCTACAAAGAGGACATCGAAATAGCCAACAGACAGATGAAAAGATGCCCAACATCACTAAGCATCAGGGAAATGCAAATCAAAACGAGGTATTACCTCACACCTGTTAGAAGAGCTATCATCAAGAAGACAAGAAACAAGAGGGGCTGGTGAGGTTGTGGTGAAAAAAAGAATCCTTATACAGTGTTGGTGGGAATGTAAATTGGTCCAACCACTATGGAGTATATGGAAGTTCCTTAAAAAATTAAAAATAGATCTACCATATGATCCAGCAATTCCACTTTTGGGTATATACCCAAAGAAAATGAAAACAGGATTTTGACAAGACATATGCACTCCCATCTCTACAGCAGCACTATTCACAATAGCTAAGATATGGAAACAATCCAAAATGCCCACCAATGGATGAATGAATAAAAAAGACGTGACCCATATACACAATATTATTCACCCATGAGAAAGAAGATATCCTGCCATCTGCAACAACATGATGAACCTTGAGAACATTATGCTAAGTATGCTATCACTTATATGTGGAATCTAAAAACCTAAACTTATAAAAAAAAAAAGTATTTTACCTTGGTGGTTACCAAGGGTATGGGGCGTGGGGGAGATAAGAGTGATGGTGTTTAAGAGTACGAACTTCTAATGAGTAGTAAATAAGCCATAGAGATCTAATGCACAGTATAATGAACACAGACAATAACACTGTACTGCTAATCATGTAATCCGATAAATATCGTTACACTGGCAATCATATTACAATATATAAGTGTATCGGAGTAACACCCTGTACACCTTATACAATGTCACACAAACTAATTCAATAAAAAATTTTTAAATTCAAAAAACAAAACAAAACAAAACAAAACAAATACAGCCAGTTACATAATACTTACAAAAGATAAAACTAATAAGTAAAACTATCTAACATCACTGGATGGAGAAATATATAAAGCAAATGTGAAAAAACAGAGGACTGAATATTAATAACATTCAAACGACTGTTCATTCTCTGCTTTTATTTGTACAATGTTTCTGACAATCAATTTGTATACACTACAGTTTGTAAGATGGCAATTTCTAAAACTAAAGAATGTCACAGTACACAAGAAAATGGCATATTAATTTCAGCATTTAATGCATACCTGCATAAATTAATTTTTGACCTGCTACAGGAAAGGCATCTTTACCCTTTTCAGATTCAATCTTCTCTTTCAGTGCTCTTACCTATAGGAAAAAATTTTTTGATTTTTGAAAAAGTCTAAACAAATGAAAATCCAGAATCTGAACAAATGATGCAAGATAAAAATTTTATACATACTATTAATGACTCCAAAAACTTCAAAGATCATGTCTTTATAATATTACGTCAGAAAGACCTATTATTAACAACCCATACTACTAGGTAGAAGTATAAACGTATAAACTGTTTTACCATCTGTTCCACGTACACAGTTTTTTAAAAAAAGACTTTATCAGTTGACTTTATAAGTCTATTCAAAATAAAGGTTTCAAAAGCAGAAAGTTTTGATTCTCACTATAAAGTTTATGGGCTTATTTCTCACAGAGTAAGAAAGTAAAGAAAAGCTCTCTAATCTAAAAGGTCTAAGAAATAAAGTGGTCTTGTCCACAATAATAATAAAAAAAAAGTTAAATGTGAATGTTAAAAGGCAAATTATTCACTTTAAAAGTGGCTAATGTTTCATTATAATCACCTGAGGGAGCTTTATAAAGACCAATTAAAATATAATTTCTGAGGGTGGGTCTGGACATCAATATTTTTGAAAAGCTTTACAGTTGGTTTCAAAGTTCGGCCAAACTTGAGAACCACTGTATTACTTCAATGATCTTGAACAGGTAGCTCAGTTTTTCTCAACATCAGTCTCATCTATAAAGAGGGACTGGAATACATGATCTTTATGGTCTTCCAACCCTAAAATTACATGACCACAGGTTCATTATGAAGTATTGATACTTAGAAAAAGAGTGCAATCAATTTCTGAAGTAGGGTGGCATAGGAGTAAAAAAAAAAAACGGCAAGGAGACATAATGGAACTAAATTTCACTACTTTAAATGACCAAGAATCAAGGGGGAAAATTCCATTTCCTTCAGTTCCCAGAATTCTTCTAAAAATTGTCTGGGGCTTCCCTGGTGGTGCAGTGGTTGAGAGTCCGCCTGCCGATGCAGGGGACACAGGTTCGTGCCCTGGTCCGGGAAGATCCCACATGCCGTGCAGCGGCTGGGCCCATGAGCCATGGCCGCTGAGCCTGTGCGTCCGGAGCCTGTGCTCCGCAACGGGAGAGGCCACAACAGTGAGAGGCCCGCGTATCGCAAAAAAAAAAAAAAAATTGTCTGAACTGATAGCTCTGAGCTTTAAGTGGTAAACTGTCACGATAGGGACACAAAAGGTAGGGTTCCTCCCCAAATCACATTGCTACTATAAGTAGTAGCTGAAATCCAAAACCAGCTCTTCTGACTCCAAGCTTTAGAGCAGAGTATTTTGCAAATGCCACATAAATCACCCTTGCTATACTGATCTTCCTGAAGTGGGCCAGTAGCATCACTGCTATTGTGATATCCCCAAAGTGGAAATCCATCACAAGAATCTCAACCCGCTATATACATGATTAAGAGTGGGAAAGGAGGACAAACAACAACAAAAAAACCCTCTAGTCATTTTACTACTAAATAACATTGCTTCAAAAAATCAAAACTGTGATTAAAGAATACTAAAACATAACAATGAGAACTCTACATAACAATACCTATAAGATGTGGTTAAAAAAGTAATCATAGACTAACACTAAACATGTTTATTATTAAACAAGGAAAATTAATAAACTAAGCACGCAACTCAAATAGAAATAACAAGACACATAACAAAAGAAAAAAGGCAAATAAAAAATTAAGAGAAATGGTAGAAAATGGTTCTTGTGCCAACAGAAAAATGGACTAATGACAGGGGCAGGCAATTCACAATTATACACCCAATAAAAAGAAAAGCTCAACATCATTAGTAACCAAAAGCACAAATTTTAATGTCAGACATCATTAATCCAATAGACGGTCATACTGGAAAAGACTGTCTTGAACAATTTTTGGTGTTAAGTGTGAAGAGACACACTCTCAGAACGAGGGTATCAAATGATATAATGTTTTGTGGGCAATATGCCAGGACACCTTGACATTTTGGGGGCAGAGGGTGTGTGTGTGTGCGTGTGTGGATTCAACGCAGCAAAACCACCTTGGGTCATGTGTCAAAGAAAATACGTGAACTTTTGTAGTATTTGAAGTATATCTCAATAAAGATGAAAAAAATACCTTGTAGGAAACAATCCTGTTTACAACTGCATCAAAAAAAAAGAAAATAAGTGAACCAGACTTTGGAACCAGGTTCCCTGACCTGTCCAAACTTCTGGCTTTGTTCCTTAACCTCAACCCAATGATCTTTACTTCCAATCCACTTAAGTCATCTACTCACAGTCATTCAGGACACAGGCTGAATCTCATCATCCCCAAAATGCTCTTTGAAATGGTAAGTGCCAATCTCCTATTGCCACCAGCTCTCTCAGTAACTGTTCACTACACCTGATCTTGCATCTCATTACAACTTTGTTTCCTTGAGCCTCTTACTTTCATCCATTCTGATCTTTACTGCAAGCTCTATTCAGCTTAGACAATAATGCCACTGCTTCTATCACTTTCTTCCTAACATCACAGACTTGTTTGCCTTTCTGTTGCTCCTACCAGGTAAAACTCCACATCTGGACCAGCACAGTTGAATTTGTCAGTACTCAAAATAAAATTTACTTCAACCACTGTGGTGTCATACTCTTCTACCTCACTTAGCTAACACATCTCACCTTTAATGTCTAACCAGCTGCCTATCCACATTTATATCCAGTCTTCTAAATGTTACTGGAGAAAAAGAACGACACCCCCAATCCTTCTGTTCCCCTGGTTAGCCCTCTCCTCCCTCCTCCAAGAGGTTGTTTGAAACCTGTACTCTCCTCTAAATCTGATTCCCAACACTCCCCCCCAACCCCCTGCAGATGACCATTTTCTACTTCAAGGTACAGAAGACACCACAGGAACTCACACCCTCAACTTTCTACTACCAAACTGACACATGGTTTTTTGCATCCAGATCCACCTAATCTCAATCTTCTTCCCTACTAAATGAAAGCTATCCCTCTCTTCAAATCTAATTCCTTTCTTCAGTACCTTGCTAGATTCATTATGTTTCCTACTCCCCCACCCCGCCGAGTTGTATTTTCAACCTCTCCCTCAAAGCCAGTTCATTTCCATTCACACTTAAACAGACCCAATTCTCTATCATCTTAAAAACACACAAAATCCCCCACAGTCTCCTCCTCCTCTTAGTCTCAAGTAATTTTCAAAAAATTAACTATACATTGTCTTTACTTACTCATAACCCCACACTTACTACTCCAGGGTGCAACACAATGCTGATAAACTGAAGCACAGACTTTGTTCTCATTCTGCAGCTTATTTTCTGCAGTAGTGCTACTCCCACAATTCCATTAAGACTGCCCTCACCAGTACCACTAAATTCAGCAACATCATCATCAGATACTTCTTAGTCCTTCTCTGTAGTATTACTTGACCTCTCTGCCACATTTGACAGTACTAACTCATCTCTCCTTTACGCACTGTTTTCCTTTGGCTTCCATAACACTACACTCTTCTGGTTTTCCTCCTCTCTCTTTGTTCACTCCTTTTTGAAATCCTCTTCCTTGGCGAGACCTTTAAGTGTTACTTAGGGCTATGCCCAAGACTGCCTTTTCTTCTACACAGACTTCTAGGATAATCCATTTCATCTACTCCTAGTTTTAAGAACCATTCATATGTCATGTGTATCTCTAGCCCAGCTCTCTCCTGACTCTCTACTTGATGCCTTCACTGGATGTCCCATAGGCATATCAACCATAACGTAATTGCTGAAAGATGGTTTCTAGACTACTTTGTCTAAGTCTTCCCTAACTCAATCAAATTGAGCACACTTTAAAACAGCTATAAAGAAAGGCCTTCTTTCTGGATGTTGCAAAGAAGGAAAAGGTAGCAACTCTGCACATGGTTTCCCTCGGAAAGGTTATGTCCAGCAGCCAATGTAGTTACGACTCCTCTGTGCTGCACCCCGTGCCAATACTTCCAGTAAGTCATCTCAACAGGATGGATCTAAAATTGAGCACTATGATCCCAGTAAATAACCAGGCTTCTCCAAGGCTAACAAATAAGAAGCAGGAACTAAACTTTCATTTTGCTGCTTATTTCCCCCTAGATAAAGAATGGGAGTTTATCATTGATTCAACTAGAGAAAATGCATGATTAACACTCAAGAAGTCAAATTTTTTCTAGCCACATACTTCTCTCTTACGAAATTGTGCATTTTAAAAGAAAAATATACTCAACATCTAATACTAAACATAGTTGACGTGGTTTTTATTTTTTCCCCAAAAGGGAGATAATCACTATGAAAAAGTGCCAACACAAAAGCAGATCAGTTATCCTTTTTCATCCCATTCCCTTGCGAGGTATTTGTCTCTTCCTTCTCCTATATTCCTCACATTAAATCATTTATCCAGTTGTTCCAACTTAACCATCTAACTACCTCCCAATGTGAACACTATATTGCATCCCATGGCACTACCCTAGTTCAGGCCAACCACCATTAAAAGTAGTTGTTTCGGGCTTCCCTGGTGGCGCAGTGGTTGAGAGTCCGCCTGCAGATGCAGGGGACACGGGTTCGTACCCCGGTCCAGGAAGATCCCACATGCCGCAGAGCGGCTGGGCCCGTGAGCCATGGCCGCTGAGCCTGTGTGTCCGGAGCCTGTGCTCCGCAACGGGAGAGGCCACAACAGTGAGAGGCCCGCGTACCACAAAAAAAAAATTAGTAAGAGCAAATAAGTTTTGGCAGTTAAACCATTAGCAAAAGGAAACAGAGACCTAAAGCCAAATATGTTTACAAAAGAATTTCATAGATTTACGCTATGGGCAAAGCTTTTTCCTCTTTGGTTCCTTGGGTGGTATCCTTCCATTTGAGAAACTGGTGCAGGCACCAAGGAGTATTTCCTGAATCTCTTCCACAAAGTCAGTTTCTGCTAATTCTAAAAACAGAATTATGAAGATGTTGGTTGACATCAGTGCAACAGGAAAAATCTCCCCACTGGACCCAAGGAATGAAAAAAATGTGGCACAAGAGTTT